CCCCAGAATCCTTGCCTCCAAGGAGCAGCCTGGTTTAACCCTCTCTACGATGAATCTATTTGTTTTTCTTGGCAGTCCATGGTACATTCAGTACTCTTCTCCAGCACCACAGCTCAAAGGCATCAATTCTCCTTCTATCCTCCCTAGTCATTGTCCAACTCTTCTCTCCCCAATAGACTTCAATGCAGTAAACACAATTCATCCAGTTTTTCTCAGTCTTACTCCCACCCCAATGTCAGCCTCATTCTACAACAGTGGCACTATATAGCATTTGTCCCTTTGTGACTGAGATACCTCACTCAGCATCATGTCCTCCAGGGTCACCCATTTTGAATAATATTGCATGAGTTCCTTGTTTTTCAATGCAGCATAGTATTCCATTGTGTGAATATACCACAGCTTCTCTACCCATTCGTTTATTGATGGGCACTTAGGTTGTTTCCAACTCCTTGCTATTGTAAACAAAGCTGCGATAAACATGGGTGTGCATTTATCTACTTGGATGTCCTTCATGGTCTCTTTAGGGTATATTCCCGGTAGTGGAATTGCTGGGTCAAATGGTATCTCTATTTGCAACTTTTTGAGAAAGCGCCACATCGCTTTCCACAGGGGTTGCACCATTTTACACTCCCACCAACAGTGAATAAGGGTTCCAGTCTCTCCACAACCTCACCAGCATTTGTTGCTTGCTGTTCTGTTAAATTTTGCTAGTCTTACTGGGGTGAGATGATATCTCATAGTTGTCTTGATTGACATCTCTCTCAGAGCTAGGGATTTAGAACATTTCTTCATGTGTTTGTTGGCCATCTGAATGTCTTCCTTGGTGAAGTGTCTGTTCATATCCTGTGCCCATTTTTCAACTGGATTATTTATCTTGTTGTGGTGCTCAAGTATTTTATAAATTCCAGATATAAGTCCCTTATCTGACATGTCATTACCAAACACTTTTTTCCAGTCTGTGGCTTCCCTTTTTACCCTGTTAGAGAAGTTTCTGGATGCGCACAGGGATTTGATTCTTAGAAGGTCCCATTCATCTATTTTATCTTCTCCTGGTTGTAAATTTTTCAGAATACTTGGAAGACTCTTTATGTTGTGGATTAGGACTACTAAAGTACTCCCAAGCTTTTCTTTAATGAAGTTTATAGTCCTTGGTTTTAGCCCTAGGTCCATGATCCACCTTGAGTTGGTTTTTGCATATGGAGTGAGGTGGGGATCGTGTTTAATTCTTCTGCAGATAGTTTTCCAATTTTGCCAGCACACCCCTGCATCTTTGACCCACGTCTGTCTTCAGGTATCACATTGGTTTCCCCGCCCTAGTCTGCATTTATTTTTGTCTTTAGGGTATCACTCTTCCTCTTGAAGATTTGTTTTCGTTGTGTCACACTCATGATTATTCCTTTATGATGATAGAGTCTTCCCATATTTGCCCAGGGAGAGCCCTTCAGCTTCACTGGTCATGCCCTTCAAGTCATGCCCTGTCACTGAGTTTTGCCCACTTCCTTGATTTCTGGAATAACACAGTGCCCCAGGTTTGTCTTACACTTGCTTTGCCTCAAAGCTAGAACCCACTGTTTCTCCTGGTAGCCTGGTCATCCTGGATGGAGACTGCTTTTTAGGAATGAGGACCTGAGGTGCTTGTTGGCTTTCCACTGGGCTGAGCTGGGGTGTGTATATTAACTCTGAATGCATAGTGATATAGCCAACTCAAAGGGTGTTTGCACTTTCCCCTTAAAGTTTGGTGGATTTCTTTCCTCCTACAGTGAAAAATTGGGTTCCTGCTAATGTGTTTACTTATTTTATATTTGTGGTCATTGATACTGGCTGGGTCCCATTGGGTTGATCCAACCCAGCGTGACAGCGTAAAGCTATGCTGTAGTTTCTGTGCTGTGACTCTTGGAAGCAGATGGCCAGATCTTGCAATGTTGGACACTATATGTTGGAGGTCACTTTGGTAGCCTAGTGGCAAGAAGCTGTGCCACAATCCTGAAGGCACAGGGTTCGAAGCCATCAGCTGCTCTGTGGGATGATGGGCAGTCTCCTCCCATGTGATTAACTGCCTCTGAAAACCCACTGGAGGAGGGTCAGCTATGGGTTGGTTCCAACTCTATAGTATATAACAACAACAGCAACAATACTAGGGTGCTCTGGTGGCCTAGTAGATAATGAGTAACACTGCCAACCTAAAGGCAAGCAGTTTGAATCCATCAGCTGCTCCCTGGAAGAAAGGTGGAAGTCTCCTCCCATGTGATTTACAGCCTTTGAAACCTTGAGGGAGGGTCAGCCATGAGTCAGTTCCTACACTGCAGCACATACCAGCTACGTGTTGATACTGAACTACTAAAGAAAGGTCGGGTTTCTTTGCAGGTCTTTCTGTCTCACGCTTTATCTGATTAAGATTAGAGGTGGAATGGCATGACCGAAATCTCCAGAGAAATCATTCCTTCCTCTGTGTAGTTTACTTCCAACTCAGTATTCAGCCACGTTCACTTGTTTTTCTTAGTGTCTAATTTTATGTTTGAGGCCTCTATTTTGACTTAACTTTTTGAATATGTAAAACATTTACATGGTTCCAAAGTCAAAACTTTAATGAAATGTCTACTCAAAGTTCCTTCTATCCTTATCCCTCTGGTTTGCTTCCCACCTGCTCAGCCTCTTACACACAACCCATTTTGAGATCCCATTTTAGCTGCTTGTGAGTTCTTCTTCTGTATTGTGTTGTTGTCTTTTCCCCTAATAAATATATGCTTATTTACATTTTGCTGCCTTTTTTTTTTAATACAAAAAAGGACATACCAAATGCACCTTCATGTCCTTTGCAGTCAGCATTGAATCCCGAAGTCTCTGTCAGTGTTGGAATCGCCTGCATTCAGCTGCCGTCTGCGCAGTGCCCCGCTGTGTGGGTGCTGGGCAGATTTTTAAGCCAATCACTGACTGGTGGACATTTGAGCTGAGTCCAAGACTTTGATATCACAGGAATGCAGTAATTAATGAGCACGTGTCTGCACAATTTTCTTCCCGAGGAGATGTAGATTTTGAGTGAATTTCTAGGAGTGAGATTATAGGATCAAAGAGTAGAGGTGTCAGCAGGTTAATAGACATTGCAGGCCTCCCTCTGTAGACACCGCCGCCTTTCTCTGCTCCCACTAGTGACGTACGGCCCGGCCCACTTCCCCACAGTCTGCCGCAGAATGATTTGAGCATGGGGGTTTCTACAGTCTGATGGGTGTGAAATGGGTCTCAGCACAGTGGTCATTTACATTTCTTATAATGAGTGAATTGGAGCATCTTTCATACTATTTAGAGCTGTTTATTTATTTTTTAAAATTTCTATTCATATCTTTTATTTTTCTCTCAGGTTTTTAGTCTGTTTTTGGGAGAAGGCCTAAGAAAAAAGGCACTTAAAAATGTCACTTGGCAAGCTGGCCTGAACAGCTCCTAGCTACCTGCCTCTTTGAGCTGGAGGCTGGAGCGATGGGGCTGGTGCCTTCTGCTCCTTTCTGTGATGGTGAGCCCCCCAGCACTGGGTTCGTAGGGCAGTGGGTGGCCTTGGTCTCTGAGCATGAGCTCAGTCCTGAGGTCTCTTGAGGTTTGACAGTGGTCAAGGCCTGGTGCTCTCAGAGCTAGTCCCTGTTTGTTGGGTAGACAAGGCCTCCTGGCTTCCTGGGGTCCTGCACACTGCTCTCCATCTTTGTACCCACTTTACTCATAGGCCCTGTGAGATGCCCTCTGATGCCACAGACCCAGAGCCAGGCCATACAGCTGATGTATACCACCATTCCCCTTGGGCTCACCTTGGGCCCTTTTCCCTATTCTCCCTAAGTTTCATCCTCCAGTTCTTGGATGCTCGTACTTAGACTGTTTTTTATTACAACCCTCCCCCACCCTCAGTGGAATATACTTTTGTGGGTCTTGGGGGAAAGCAGTGGGACCTGCCTTATCATCTCCACTGGGGACAGGGTAGTGGACCTGATGAGAATGGCAGGGACTCGAGGGTCTGGGGGTCCTAACACACAGGGGTACTGTGTAGATGTGAGCCCCAGCCCCTCAGAGCCCAGTGCTGCGCACAGGGGGGCCTCCCAACCATTGAGTATAGCATTGATAAAAAAGGGAAAAATGTTCTTTTGAATGTGTTTCGTAGCTTTGCTGCTCCCTGTACTTTAACTGATGGTGATTTCAGTGACATTTTTATCAATTTAGGATTAATGACGATGCTACCTCAAGAGGATGGAGGCAGGGGTGCATTGTTTGCATCCATTAGTGCCCAAGCCTGTTAAAGCCTTCCCTGCAGGGAAGGGGGGAGGTGTCCAGGCATAGTCCAGGGCTGGTGGGAATGCAGGGAGGGATGTGCTCGCTCCTACACAGGGCAGCAGTGGAAAGAGGAGAACGTTTGATGAGGGGGGTTGGCACAGTGGCTCCAACAGTGGGCTCAAAGAGAACACTGACTGTGAGGATAGTGCAAGACCGGGCCGGTTTGATTCTTTTGTGAAGAGAGTAATTTTGAGTCGGAACCCACTCAGCGGCTCCTAGCAATAACAGTTGGGATGTTTAAGCCGTCCTCTCTCTTTCTCTCTTCCTCTGCACCCCACTTCTGTGTGTGTGTGTGTGTGTGCGTGCGCGTGCGCATGTGCTCTCGTTCCAGTTTGGGTGACATGTGTACGATGCACTTTCCCTTAATCCTGTGTGCCCAGAGTAATAAATCCTCAGCAGTCTCCACGGGTCCTGCAGCAGGAGGTTTTACAAGGACGTACGTGGTAAAAACCATAAATCTTTTTTTTTTTACAATTTGATTGTACACATTGGAAAGAAACCTATTCTCCTGAACATGACTCCTCATTCTGTTAATTTGGATAGTTTATGATATTTTTGATTAATGTGTTTATTGGCTCGTAGCTGTGATGGAAGCAGAATTAGTAATCATGACCCGTGCAGAAATCTCTTCAGAGTGAACATGATGAATGAATCCAGTTCCTCTTACACGCGCATGGGCCTCTTTTGGACAGGGTCTCCTGGCTTCCAGCTCAAGTACACGGTGGACTCTGGGTTCCTGAAGCCCGGAGAGCAGCGCTGGTTCCTCCAGTACCTGGCTCTTCAGACGCTGCAGATCGACATCTGGGATGGGGACGCCCTGCTCCTTGTTGGCTCCACCGCCGTCCAGATGAAGGTAGCATGTCCCTGTGCAGGGTGGCCTGGTCTGGGTGGTGTGGCCCTCTAGACAGCTGTGTCTATCCACACTCAGCATGAGACTGTGACTCAGCAACTCGGTTCTACAAACTAAAATCTGCCACATTCTCTCTCCTTTCACAATGAAAGAGATTATTCTCAGAGTCAGAATTCTAGAAACCTAGGTGTTTGCCGAATGAACTTTTGGGATCAAAATCAGTTTGTCAATTTCTTCGACACACTGCCAGTGTCATTGTTCACTCCTTGGTATGTGATGGTGTAAACTCCCTGAAGAGTCCCGAGTAGTTTAATTATGTTACGTTATGATCAGCTACTACCCTTGGAGGTCAAGTCCACCTGAAGGCATTTTGGAAGAAAGGTCTGATGGTCTGCTACTGAGACATCCGTTACTGAAAACCTAATTTAGGAGTACAGTTCTTCCCTGACACATTGTGTTGCCAGGAGTTGGAGGTGACTCAATTGTTGTTATGTGCCATCGACTTCCTTGTTGACTCATAGCAACCCTATGTACATTAGCTCTGAACTCTGCCCTATCCTGAGCCAATCTCATCATCTCTGACAGACCTAATCCTTTTTCTCCAGTCACTGAGTCAGTCCATCTCATTGAGAGTCCTCTTCTCCTGTGCTGTCTGTCCCTCCACCCTTCTAAGCATGATATCCCTCTCCAGAGACTGGTTCCTCCTGGCCACGTGCCCAAAGTATGTGAGACAGAGCCTCAAAATTCTTTCCTCCAGGGAGTAGGCTGGTTTTACCCTGTCCAGAACAGACCTATTTGTTCTCCTGCAGTCCATGGTGTATTCAACACTCTTTTCCAGCAACACAACTCAAAGACAGCGATCATTCTTCTATCATACTTAGTTACTGTCCAGCTCCCAGATACATAGCAAGTAATTGAGAAGACCATGGCCCAAGTCAGGCACACCTTAGTGTCTAGACTGAGAGCTTTGCTCTTTAGTACTCTAGAGAGATCCCTGACAGCAGACTTTCCCAATGCAGTTCATCTTTTTATTTTCTGACTGCTGATGCCATTGGTTTTTCAATTTCCTGGAGCAGAAGCCAGGGTAGCCTTAATTTCTACTGTTCAAGGCTCTGGTCCACCCAGGGCTTAGCTTGAATACTGAGTGAATGATGGAATGAATGAGTGGGTAAATAAACAAAAGGACATTGGAGTCTAACATCTTAATATTTCATCTATTTATGCTATTAGTTATATGCATGGTGTAACTTTTATATACAAAGCCTACAGAGTTTGGAAAAAACAACAACAACCACAAATGCAGCACAACTTTATTACAATAAAAGTCATATAACTATAAAATTTATGGAGAAAAGGTGGAACATTCAGATGAAAGGAAATTACCTATTGTGCTAAACCTTTAAAAGCAGTGAAATTGCTGTTTATCCTTTGATAAACTAATTTGTGGCAGAGCAAGGATGCACTGCAATTCGTTCCCCTTAGTCCCTGCCATCGGGCTTTTCCGTAACTTTTCCCTGCAGTGGACATGTTGAAGCTGAATCACTTCACATGCCTTTTAGCTTCTTCCTATAGATAATGTTGGTGCTGTTATTATTACTGAACAGTAGTTAATACTGTAATGAAACATTGTTCTTATGTATCCGCTTGTGCTATCCTCACCCAAGGCCTGTGAGGTCGTTTTAATGACCTTTTGCTTTTCTCATGTATGATGTCCTTGAAGTCATGCCACATCCCTTCTTGTCCTCAGTCATTACTTTTCAATGTGTCAAATCTACCCTTGAGACAGTATCTGAATTAAGGTGAGGAATGCCAAGTGTTCTGATTTTCTTCAGCTCCATTTGTCTAGTACTACTTGCTTGTCGTGCTGTGGTGCTTTATGTGTTATTAGAAGCTGTGCTGCTGGGATTTTAAATGCTAGCAGGGTCACCCCTGGTGGACACGCTCCAGTCAGAACTTCTAGAAGAAGAGACTTGGGGTGGAGGACCTGGGGAGATGATCTAGTCCTGAAAGAGAAATTGACCAGTGAAAACCCTTGTACAGCAGCGGAACACTGCCAGATATAGTCCAGGGAGATAAGTACACAGGATTGGAACGCACTCAAAATATGGTGAGGGAAGAGTTGCCTCCTCAGAGTAGACTTGACCTTGATGCCATGGACGGAGTAAAGCTGTCAAGACCTTCATTGCTGATGCGACACACAGAAAAAGAGGAGACTTGTGTTGTCTTTGTTATGTTATCAGTGAGTCAGAACCAACCCAGAGCTGACCCGCCAGGGTTTTTTCAGAGACAGTAAATCACACAAGAGGAGATTGTCCATCCTTCTCCCAGTGAGCAGCTGGTGAGTTCCAACCTCAAGTCTTTGGGAATGCAGCCCAGCTCCTTACCACGAGGCCCTCAGAGCTAGAAGCAGCAGGTGCAAATATCCACTGATAGCTGCAAAATGGAATGTACTAAGTATGAATCTCGAAAAACTGGAAGTTGGAAAAAAAAAAATGAAGTGGAATGTGTAAAGACCGACATCCTAGATGTTGTTGTTGTTCATTGCCACTGAGTCGAGTACCCGTCATCGCGACCCTATGAACAACAGATCTTCAGCAAATGGTGCTGACAAAACTGCACTGCCTCCTGCAGAAAGGTGAAACAGGATCCACATCTCACACCATACACAAAAATCAACTCAGGGTGGACCAGAGGCCTGGCAGTAAAGCCTAAAACCATGCTGGGATCAAGCTTAGAAAGCCTAGTCTATGTTATAAAAAGACTGCCAAATACAGCCAGAAATGCACTGTATGAAGAGGATAAAATTGATGAATGGGTCCTTCTAAAGATTAACTCCCTGTGCACATCAAAACCTTTTTCCAAAGGGTGAAAAGAAACCTACCAACTGGGAACAAACATTTGGTAATAACATTTCAGACAAGAGTCTCATAACGAAAATTTACAGAATACTCCGGGGCCTCCACAATAAAAAGACTGATTTACAAAATGAGCAATTACATGGAAAGAATTTTCACAGAGGAAGATATTTGAATGGCTAATAGACACATGAAGGAATGCTCCAAATCATTGGCAGTGAGAGATACAAATCAAAACCACGATGAGATACCATCTCACTCCAGTAACAGTGGCAAAGTTTAACCAGGACAGCAAGTAATAAATGTTGGAGAGGATGTGGCAAGATAGGAACTCTTATATATTGTTGGTGGGATTGTACAATGGTAAAGCCATTCCAGAAGGCAGTTTGATGCTTCCTCAAAAAGCTGAACATAGAAATTCCATATGAGCCAGCTATTCCATTGCTTGGAATATACTCTGAGAAAATGAGAACTGAGGCACAAATGGAGACTTGTACACCAGTGTTCATAGCAGCATTATTCACAATCTCAGGAACATGGAAAGAGCCCAGATGTCCAACCACAGTCAAATGGATTGAGAAACTTTGGTACATTCGTACAGTGGAATGTGGTGTGGCACATAGGAGTAATGATTTTCTAAATTATTACCTAGCTTGGAAGGACCTGGAGAGCATTATGCTGAGTGAACAGACTTAGTCCCAGAAGGATAAATATTGTATAAAACTATTATTGTAGAATGAGTATAAGGATCCAAGGGTGGGGGAGGGTACAAGCAGAGGGATGAGGATCCAAGCGGGGGATTAATTATGGGGTTGTACAATTTGATGGGGGTAGGGTGAGGGAAATTGAAAGAATCTGTTATGGGAAACAATTTATTCGAATTTTGTAAATAAACTATAATAATGATAATGATAATAAAAATTAAAAAAACAGCTAAAAAAATCCCCCAACCAAACACAGCAGACCTGAACCCTACTCTATCTTGTGCCATCCTCACAATCTCTGACACACTTGAGCCTATTACTGCAGTCACTGTGTCAGTCCACCTGATTGAGGAGCTTCCTCTCCCTCACTTCCCTCCACTCTCCCAAGCATGTTGTACCTCTCCAATGCATCGTTTCTCCTAACAATATGTCCAGAGTACGAAAGGTGAAGTTTTATCGTCTTTGCCTTCAAAGAGCACTTTGGTTGCACCTTCTCCAAGACCTATTTGTTCTTTTGGCAGTCCATGGGATATTCCTAGATATTGGTGACCTGAAATGGACTCGTTTGACTATTTTGAATTGGACAATAATATGATGTAATGTGCAGGAAACGACAAATAGAAGAAGAATGGTGTAGCATTGAACATCAAAAAGAACATTTCGAGATCTAAGCTGAAGTACAACACTTCACTGATAGTTTAATATCTATCTATAGGCCGATATTGGTAGTATCTCTAAGGCCTACAAGGAAAACCTGCTAATAAGATTCTTAAGATTTACGCAGCAACCACTAACACCAATAATGTAGAAATTGAAGATTTTTATTTACTTCTGCAGTCTGAAACATCATAAGTGTAATCAGAATATATTGACAATTGTTGATTAGCATTTGGAAGTTAGAAACAAAGAAGTACTGATAGTTGGAAATACTGCCTTGTGATAGAAGTGACATTAGAGCTCACATGATAAAATTTTTCAGGACTAATATAGGGAGCTCTGGTGGCCTGGTGGTAAGAAGAAGCTGCACTGCAATCCCAAAGGCGCATGTTCAAATCCAGCTGTATTGTGTGAGAAGAATGGGCAATCTTCTTTTGTGTGATTGACTGCTTCCGAAAATCCACTGGAGGGTCAGCTGTGGGTAGTTTCTGAGTCAATGGCATACAACAACAACAACAACATAATAGTCTTGCATTCCTATTTAATCGGTATATTGAAATTATTCAAGAAGCTGGACTTTGAAGAATGTGGCATCAGGATTGGAGGAAGACTCACTAGCTTTGTTATGCAGATGACACAACCTTGCTTGCTAAAACTGAATTGTAAATGACTCACAGTGACGACACTATTAACCAAAGGCCTCAACACTTGCATAGCTTTCTTTTTTTTTGCGTAACTTTGCATCATTTCTCCAAGTTCATAGAGTTTCCAGAGGCAAACTATTTTG